GGGGGGGGGGGTGTATTGGCTGCCGGAAAGAGTGACCGAATGAGGGAGAGAAACAGAGAGAGACCAAGTCAAACATGGGAGTGTGTGGCGAAGACAAACACGAGGGGCAGACAGCTTAGCGGAGGTGAGTCTCTGGAACAGGGGAGAAATCATTAACCCCCGCGAGTTCATGATTGCCTCAGAGACATGCCGAGCTGCACACACTATCTGAATCTGCCCGATGCCACGTCTGAAGAGAGCCCTTCTCTCTTTCTATGTTTCAGCATGGCAAAGCCAAAGCTGAGGGGGGGACGCGTGGTGGTGTTGGTGGAGGAAGGGAGCAGTGTGCCAGGTCAGCAGCCTCACCATGGAGACAGCAGTGAGAGCCGCTGCTGTTTTCTTCTTCCACACCGTTACTTTTTTTCCTTTCTCCCCCCCGCCCCTTTTCTCCTCTTGCCAACTGGCAGGAGCGCAGTGCTCCATTTGCTGCAGCAGCAAGGACGGCAGTAAGTTTTTAGCTGGAGGTGGTAAAAGTGACAGAGTTTTAAGAGACAATATCAGACAATGGCAGCGTGGAAAGATGCCAAACATGGCTTTTTATAAATGAAGGAATGTGATTAAAGAAGGGGAAAGAGAGAGAAAAGGGGGATGAGAAGGGTTTTGTAGGCAGAATATATGGGGTGAAGGGGGTGGGGGGGGCATAGGTACACTGAGACTATAGAAAGTAGTTGCTGTGTGAGGGTGTGTGTGTGTGAGATGGAGAGGGGGTGTTGGCACTGTACTGGTGAACATTAATGCTGCCTTTGTGGGGGTCTGTGGGAGGTTTTAATCCCTTTTTTCCGTTCTCCAATTAGATCCCTCGGCCCGGGTCGGAGACTCTTGTTAGCGTTCCTGGCGTTGTGCTCGCTGTCTGTTGTCACACTGCCAAACTATCCATATCATAAATCTCTTTCTCTTATCCCTCTATTACACACACACACACACACACACTCCTCTACTCTCCCGTCCCTGGGGATCTCTACAAGCTGCTGGAAAACTGCATTCAGCAATGCCCTGGCAACCCCCATTCAGCCACAAACACCCCCCCCCCCCTTTTTTTTTTTTTTTTTTTTAAACTTCCCCATACCCCTTTGCCCCCTTCAGAGTACTCTTCCCCACTGCATTCTCCCCTCTCAAACACACAATTGCACACAAACACTGACAAAAAAAAACATGCATCGACCCCGATCCTTTCTTTCAGCCGTGGAGAGCAGAGCTCCTCGGGGATGAAGTGGCATTTGTCGTTTGTTCACTGAACTCACATTAAAATGCTGATCTGGGAGGATGGGACCCAAGTGTTACATGGGTCTGGGGGTAAGTGTGTGGAATTGTTTTTTTTGGGTGTGGTACATTAATTCTGGGGGCATTAGGAGGACAGAAGTGTGGGAAGGATGAAAGACAAAGAGAGAGGAACTTGTCTTTTTTACTATAAAAAACTATTACACTGACATTGTAAAGCTGGTGCAACCTGCTGTGGCTCTACTGTATTTAATCACAGCCATGCCATTTGAATTGGAGAGAGGAAAGAGCTGACATCGAGACGATGGGCGGTGGGGGCGACATGACAGCTACGCTCAAAATTCCTCATCCCTTGCTGAAGCTCTGGCTACAGAAGCCCCGTCTGTCTATCGGATGACGCATTAGCTCAGTGATAAAAACAGGAACTGGAATCGCAGTACATGCTTCACTTCTTTGTTAAAAAATAAATAAACAAAAACCTGCCAGTCACTCGTTATGCCCGACAGCTTGGGAATGTCTAATAAGGAGTTGAAATTCTCAAGGGGTCAAAAAAGGCATTGTAATCCCGGAAGAATAACATGTGTAAGGCCTTAATCATGCTGAGTCAGGGCTTTTCTCTTGGCATGGCATTGCATTGAGGGGAAACCGTGGAGAAAACAGGATTCAAATGAGCAGCGTTATTCGTCTGAGCCACAAAAAAAAGTGTTTGAAGGGGACCGGTCGAGGTCAGAGGCCTTCAAAGACCAGAAAATGTGAAAAACCCTCAACCAGCCAACAAACACACACACACCGAGTGTGAAATGACTAAACCGTACAGCTTGGAAAACAACACCAGCCGCAGGAAGTTCAGATTGCAGACGTCCAGTGCCAAGAGTTATAAAAGCCTGAAGCCTCTTGCTTGTGACCGCAGCATTCTTACGCCGAAGCATCGGTCTGCTCTGCGGCGATACAAGCCAATTATTAACCCGCAAGATGTTCCCACTCTCGAATCCTTCCCGTTCCCCCGTGCAAGATCAGAGTGAGGCCACCTTCGGCCACATGGTAGGAAGTCATTTGTGTCGCCGCTGGCAGGAACAGGATGAGTCAGGATTGCTCTCTGCACAGGCGCATTAACCGGATTCCTTCTTAGTGCCACAATCACTGAAAACACAGAGTGACATGACTCCAAAGACTCCAGAGAGAGAGAGGGCGCGGGGGGGTCAAGAGAAGCTGAAATGTGATCTTGTAGTCTGCGGGGACGGTAGAGACTCGGGATCCAAGTTCTGTTCAGGAAAGGAAACGCTTCCTGCAGTAATGATTAGAAGCCACTTGGATAACCTCCTATGAATATAATGCCACCTAAAACAACAATGGGCGGTTTCAGTCTGCGTAAAAACATGATCTACAGCCTGAGACACCGCAAGCTCTGAAATTAAGTCCGTATCTAAAAACAGGCCTCTACGAAATCTTTACCGGAGTCAAACTGCGATGGGTCGTCGTCCTCCTCCTCCTCCTCCTCCTCTTCGTTCAGGCGAAACATCAGCGGCTCCTCGTAGTCCTGAAGAAACAGAGAACCTTTCACCGATAATGGCGCACACATTTCCACCGTGACACGTCACTCATCAGGCTTACAAGCATACCTGCAAAAGAAACTAGAGTGGACCCAAGTACAAAAACACAAGTGTCTGGCTAGTGCCTATAGGTGTGTGTGACAGGGCAAAGTACCCATCTGTATCGCATAAAAGAGGTCCTATTGGATGACCGGAATCATGTGCACACGCCTCTAAAAACACACTTGGCTGCTCACAAAGTTGGGCAATTGAGCAGCGTGCGCAAGGTGCCAACTCCAACACCTCGACAATGAGTGGGAAACAATGTGAAGCATTGAGGGGCAGGCGGTGCCACGGGCTGATGCAGATGTTCATGGAGATTGAATGGAGCCTTGAGAGTTTTTAACCCTTTTTTTCAAGCGACAACCTTTTGTTGCAAAATAGTTAAAAGTGCACACACTTGGTGTGGAACGTTTTTGGAAGGACAGATGACTTGTGTACATATTTGACTCAACACACACGAGATGTACAGTATGATCAAAAATAGATTCCGGTCACATTTATTAAGAGAAACTCCATTACTGCCCTCATTTCAAATACTCACAGTTTCCTCCACAGCTGCTCCATCGATATCAGAATACAGTGCTGAAAGAAAGAAAACAAAATTCTTTAGACACAGCAGCCATTAAACTTCAAAAGAGGCTCAAGTAAGCACAGATGTTTGTCAGTTTTTTTAACGATGTATGAACCATGTAAAGTCTTCATTTTTTATTCTATTTTGTTTTTTTAAACATAACCTGGGGAGATCTTTACCGTGTGGCCTTGATCTCCTTAACTACCACATGCATTCCAGATCAAAGGACACGGTGCACTGTTGCTCACCAGAAACAAAGCAGGAATTAGTGTTTGGGTGGTGCGATACGAAGCCTGGGGTCATGAAAAAATGTATAAAAGGTGTATATAAATGTGGGAGAGGGAAGTGGAAGTGACCCATAAAGGATGTACAGGTTTGGGAGGGGAAGGAGAATCCAACAGCAAAGGCTGAGAAAGGAGAAGATGTAAAGTGCAGGAAAAGATAACCGTAATCTGACAGAGGTCCATACAGGCTCATTTCTATCTGTATTATTCAGTGTTTTATTTCGCCTGCTTATAAAGTGTTTACTGATGTATTTTCACTGCTGAGGTCCTTGTGTGTTTGGTGTAAGCTGTAAATCTATTATTGGGCCTAGATATTTAAACTCAGGCACTACTAGTCTACTCCCTACTAACTGGGTCTGCAGTCTGGATCTCTATTTCCACACTTTGAAAAAAGACATACACAGTTTTGCGGACATTGAGGTGTAAACCAATTTGAGATATTGGCCATTAAAGCTGATAGTTCTGAGGCTTGCTTCTTGTTTTTAGCATGTAGATATATACGACGGTATATCATTAGTATGAAGCTGATAGGTTACAGAAGAAAGACAAACTTCAGGTAAGTCATCAATATAGAAACTAAAGAAGAGAGGACCCGGAGTTGAGCCTTGAGGTACACCAACATATTTATCAACCATTTGTGAGCTTTTATGGGACACAAACTCATTGTTTTCTGTCTGTAAGGTATGATTTTATCCATTTTATCACATGAGGTGAAAAATTAAACTTTGATTACTTAGTAATTAGATGGTCATGATTAACTCCATCAAAGGCTTTCTTTAAATCAAAAGAAAACAATTTGCAGTGTCAGTGGATTGATGTTTTCATTGAGAAGGAAGTAGCATTCAAATGTGATATTATTTGTTCAGAGATCCAATCTGCGATGTTTAATACTGCTGGAAGGATACTGATGGGTCTGTAGGTGATCATGAAAATGTTCACCTGATTTGAACACTGGTGTAATTATTGATGTTTTACAGGCACTGGGAAACACTCCATTAATGGAACAATAACAATTAAAAAAAAAAGGATGAATGAGAGCCTTCTTATGAGTTTTATGTATATATATTTTACTTTTTATCAAACATTTATTTTTCCAGGATAGCCCCATTGAGATTTAAAATCAAGTTTTCGAGTCCTGGCCAAGACGTAAATACTGTGTCCACTCCATCCCGTACACATGCTTTGCTCTTGAACATCAGATGCACTTTGGAGTTGTTCTCTAATAGTTTCAGCACTACTTATAAACGTATAGCTCACTTGCTCTGCTATTTTGCACACTATATTGATACAGTGATTCACATGCTTCAAATCAAAGATCAGATACGTTTGGTTGCTTACGATCATATAAATTTCACTGAACTTTTAATCAAATTCACACAAGAAAAATAGAATTCTCTCTGATGAATTTTTGCAACAGCCTGATTACTCCTCTTTTCCCTACCTTCTTCATTTTAGACTTGCAATACCTCAAACCCCCCACAGGAGAGCAGTCAATGTACACAGTATCAAGCCTAAGAAAAGCAGACCACTGCAACATACCTAAAAGAGAAGACTGGATGGCTTAGTTTAACCAGACCACTCAAACACATTAGGAATGTATGTATGATACCGTTCTCTGTGGGATCATCCACCAGCTCCTCCTTCCCTAAGATGGTCTCCACGCGTTCCCTCCTTAGAGCTTTGATCTGTGGGAGGAAAGGTGACGTTTGAGTAAGAAGATGCTGTGACCTCAAATGTACTGATTTTCACTCCGTGCTTACCTAGCTGGCTTTATTCTAATGGTACATTGGTGGCAGAATTGTTAACGTAAATGTGCTATTTAAACTGCAGGTGTATTTGCAAATCTGATCATAATTGATGGCGGTCCGTTTTAATCCCGTACCTCTTACCAGCACGAGTAAACACTGATGACTTCAACTGACCTCTCTGAGGAAGTCCTCATCTCTGAGCCGGTCCCTGAGAAGCAGGACGTCAGCGTGCCGGCTCTCCTCTGAGCTCCACCGCAGGTTTTGTCGGACAGTCAGAGTCAGGTTGCCCGTATCGTGGCAGAACCTCAGCAAGCGGCACCTGTCTGCCCACACCTGGGACAGACCTGCTAGAGGCGTGGCTAGAGGGTTGGGCGGGCTGCAGCACAACGGATGGGTTAGTTAACTCCCCTCCTCCCAAAAACATTTCAAATTTATATTCTGAGAAAGCATTAAAAATGTGTGTAGGGAGACTTTTTAAGCCATTAGAATATATAAAACATCGTCTAAAAGCACCGTAAGATGATGGTCTTCTAGTTTTTCAGGCCACATAAACAGGCCTTTAAGGGTGTGCTCAAGATTTATGGATCCATATTGAGCCTGACTGATTGGGCACAACACATTCCTGAGTTTGACAGGTAATACTAACAGGTGTTTAGTGTTTTATTTGTTCATAAAATGTACTTCAAACTGGTTTATTTACAGTATTTCACAGATCCAAAGAAAGCAATGTGTGGAGTTTGCGTGTTCTCTCCATGCGTCAGCTCTGTGATTGACTAGCGACCTGTCCAGTGTGGACACAATGTCAGCCGGCATCGGCTCCAGCCCACTACGACCCTCTGAATAGCACAAGCAGGTATAACTAATGGACGGATGGGGTCCTTTCTACATCTGCAGGAAAGCTTTCCCTCACCGCACACACAGCAAAACGGTGAACCTGAATCTTACTGCGTGAGCAGCTCCAGGAGCTCCGTGTTGCCCGCCGTCTGCACCAGCTGCAGCGGTGTGACTCCCTCTTCGTTTGGCAGACTCACAGCCATCAGACCCCCCGGCTGACAAAGCAGCAGCTCTGCCAGCCGACACAGACCCCACCGCACGGCCAGGTGGAGGGGCGACTCCCTGAGGGTGTGCTCTGGAGACGAAGGGGAGAAATATAATATTGTGAAACTGCAAAAAAAAGTATGCAGTGGGATCTAAGACAGCTGCTGAATGGAACATGGGGAGGTGTGAATCACGGTAAAACTAGAGCCACTGGGGGAAACGTGAGATAAATAGGAGGAAACTGACACCACAAGAATGCCGTCTTGATAGCCACCTCCTTGTGATAATTAACCTAAATGTCAATGATTGATTTTGTCTCTCCCGCAGCGCTGGATCCCTCTGCTCCACTGACCCACTTTGAGGCGATAAAAGCTTTGCGACAAAGTGGTGACAGCTCCTTATTTCTGTGCTCGACACTCAAAGCAGGTAACCGGCCTGCATCAAAGCAGCTACATTCAAGCGACTCGTGAGCCTGGAATCGTGCAGGTTGCATCTCAGATGCAGCATTAATTCACCATCATCTTCATGTCTGTTGATCTCCGAACATTTCTTTAGGTTTGGTGTGTTATTGTTATGAAGTACTTTTTCATGGTGGGCACAAACATAAGGATGACAGGTAATAAAAAAAAATTTCACCCACACAATGTAGGACAATCTGTGCAAGAAATACTTTTAAAAGCGATTTATTTTCTTTTGTATTCATACCAAGGTTACTTTATAGTGGGTGTTCTCAACCACTGGGCCCACTGGTCAGCATCAGAGCGCCATCTAGTGGGCTGCAGATGTACTGGCAGATGGTTGGATTATATTTTAAAGATAATGTTGTTTTGGTCATTTAAAAGCTAGTTAATGTCACATGTACATGTGCTTAAGAATTCACATAAATAAAAAACATAATCCAAAAGGAAGCATAATTTCAATGACCACTTAGGTTTGAATATCACCACCATCATCATCAGGTGTTTTCTGTTAGCTACCGTTCCCTCGGACGCAGAGACACAAAATGGATCGTGTTTTTTAAATAAAAGAGTGACATGGGAGACACCGCTGTGCCAAAGTAAACACTACAAAGCGGGTGGTGAGGAAATGAGCCTAAATGCATTGAATATGGATTCATAATGGTAGGTGGGTGAGGGTAAGAAGAATGTGTATTTTGGTACAGTGGCATAACACATATTGAGTTTAACTGTCCTCCTTTTTGACATGTTCTGTTTTTCCTCATATATTTGAATATTTTTTGTTAATCAGAAGAGGGCCTTAAGTTACAAAAGATTTAGAACCACAGTTTTTATAGTATACAAACAAACAGGCTTTACTTGACAGATCTGAAGGGCATTGGTTCTTAAAAACTCGGTTTCTCTCTTTATCCGAGAATATTCTGCATCAGGGTGCAGGCCTTGTTGAGCTATAAAGACATAGTTCAAAAGATAACACTTTTGCCAGCTGTAGTAAAAATATTAATGCTACATTTTTTCATGGCTGCCCTCCAGAGAGAACATCATGATTCCAAGCTCCAATCAAGTTATTTTTGACAGAATGAGGTTCAGCATCTCTAGCTTTTCCAGCGCCTTTGAAAATGCAGAACATACTATAAGCAAACAAAATCTATTGATTAAAAGTGTACAATTCAGTCGCATACAGCAGCAGCGGTGATGTCATAAGCGATGTTATCAAATTAACTGCAGACATTTAGAAGGAGACGCTGCGATGAAACAGACTGCCTTAACTATGTTATCGCTAAATCCAGTTCGTTATTTGTGTAGGTGGCCCAACACAAACACTCGGATCATAGAAACAGATGGTGGCATCTCGTAAACATGCACGCACGCACGCACACACACACACACACACACACACACACACACACACAC